CCAGATGAGAGTGGAGTGCAGTCCAGTATAGGTCATGCCAGTGTAGACTGGACCTCCCTCCCACATAAATCAGGAACAGACCTTGGGAGTGACTGAATAAGCAGCAGCAGAGGCTGCTTCCAATGCTTTCAGCCCACAGAGGGTGAGAGGGTTGAACAACAGGTCAGAAGGAGATCACAGGGCTCTCTTTGCTGGCCACAGTCAGGATAACACAAGATTTGGTGGCTTCCACATTAAAGAAGCAAAGGGCTTGGAACATGATATTCCTGTGGGCAAAAGAGCTAGGATTGCAACCAAGAATCACCTACTCAGAAAACAGTACAATCCTTCAGGGGGAAAATGGGTATTCAGTGAAATAGAGGACTTTTGTGTATTCCTGATGAAAAACCAGAGCTGAGTAGAAAATTTGACCTTCAAATACAAGACTTAAGAGAAGCATAAAAAGGTGAACAGGAAAGGGAAATCAGAAGGGACTTGATATAGTAAAACTATTTACGTTCCTACGTGGAACTTGTAGGAACTTGTCCTACTTGTAACTTAGAAGAACTTTCTCATTATCAGGGCAGTTAGAAGCCGTTTATAAAGACAGAGGACACAGGTGTGAATTGAATATGATGGGATGATAACTAAAAAAATAAAATTAAGGGAGAAAGAGGAATGCACTGGGAGAAAGGAAAAGGGAGAGGTAGAATGGGATAAATTAATCTCACGTGAAAGAGTCAAGAAAACATTTTTACAGCAGAGGGAAAGGTTGGGGAGGTTGGGGGGAGTTGTGAGTGTATCTTACTTTGATCAGAATTGGTTCAAAGAGGGAATAACATACTCAATTGGGTATAGAAATCTATCTTACCCTACAGGAAAGTAGGAGGGGAAGGGAATAAAAGAATGGGAGATGGAGTTAAAGAAGGGAGGACAGATTGGAGGAGGAAGTAGAAGTAAAACACTTTTGAAGAGAGACAGGGTGAAAGGAGAGAGAATAGAATAAGTAGGGGGGAAATAAGATGAAGGGAAATACAGTAATCATAACTGTGAAAAAAAAATTGAAGCAAGTTTCTTTGATAAAGGCTTCATTTCCCAAATACATAGAGAACTGAGTCAAAATTATAAAAGAGCCATTCCCCAATTGATAACTGGTCAAAGGATATGAACAGTCTTTCAGATGAAGTAATTAAAGCTATTTATAGCCATATTAAAAAAAACGTTCTAAATGACTATTTATTGGATAAATGCAAATTAAAACAATTCTGAGGTACTAATTCACACCTATCAGATTGGCTAATAGGATAGAAAAGAAAAATGACAAATGTTGGAGGGAATGTGGGAAAATTGAGACACTAATGCATTGTTGGTGGAGTTGTGAACTGATTCAACATTATGTAGAGCAATTTGGAATTATTCCCAAAGAGTTATAAAACTGTGACCCAGCAATTGATCCAACAATACCATTACTAGGTCACTATCCCAAAAGGGATAAAAAAAAGGAAAAGGACCCATATGTACAAAGATATTTTTGCATCTCTTTTCTGGTGGCAAATAATTGGAAACTAAGGGGATGTCCATCACTTGGAGGATGGCTGAATAAGTTGTGGTATATGATTGTGATGGAGTACTATTGTGCTATAAGAACTGATGAGCAGGATGCTCTCAGAAAAACTTGGAAAGACATACATGCACTGATACAAAGTGAAAAGAATAGAACCAGGAGTACATTGTACATAGTAACAGCAATATTGTAAGATGATAAACTATGAATGACTTAACTATTCTCGGCAATACAATGATCCAAGACAACTCTGAAGGACTTATGATGAAAAATGCTATTGATCCCCAGAAAAAAGAACTGATGTGGTATGAATACAGATTGAAGCATACTTTTTAATTTTATTTTTCTTGTTTTTTGGGGGGCAGGGGGTCTATGTTTTACAACATGACTAATACGGAAATATGTTTTGTGTGACTATGTATGTATAACCTGTATCAAATTGCTTGCCTTCTCAATGAGGCAGGGGGAGAGAGGGAGAGAATTTCCAACTCAAAATTTTAAAATGAATGTCAAAATGTTTTTATATGCAATTGGGGAAAATAAAATACTAAATAAATTTTTAAAAGAATAAGAAAATTATACTAAACCAACTTAAAACATTCATGAATAAAGGCACGATCATATTCAGGCCTGCCTAAAATTACTGTCTTTTTGAAAGTAAATCAAAGATGTAAGTTGTGAGGTAAAGATATTTTCCTCTACTTTAGGAGTCAGAAACTGCTCACTTGATTAGGACTAAGGTCCATTCCCCTTAAGAGAGAAAGCATATAGGGCTCTCATCTTGGCAACTTACAAATCATTAGCTCTATGCCTGAGGGAAGTCTTGACTGTATAAGATGGAAGGCATCTCCCATTTTGAAATAATTATCCAATGGGAAAGTAGTGTTATTACTGCAGTAACATCTGGACTTACGCTGGTTTCACTCTCTGCTTCTCACAGTTCATCCTGACCATAGTGCATGGCTATGGTCAAGTGATTGTCTAATTAAACAGACAAAAAAACCAAACCCAACCTTTCAGCCACTCTTCTTGCCTACCAAATGTCAAACCTCAAGGTCAACCACAACTTGACTTCGACCTGGCTTTTCACCCTTAACCCACACTAGTCCCTTTTCCATATTCTATGCTATGGCTAACACAGATTATTCCTCTATATTGACTCACTCTGTGCCTTCCTACCTATGTATTTACTCCTATTGTTCCTTTAACCTAGAATGCCCTACTATCCATCTGCTCCTGTTGAAATCTTGAAGAAAATGCTTATCACAGTATCTGGCACATAGCAGGTGTTTAATAAAAGATTGTTTCCTTCCCTTTTCACCCTACTTATTTTTCAAGACTTAATCAAAATATACTTTGTTTTTGAAGCCTTCTCTGAGCCTGATGAAAGTGACCCATTTTTCCTTTGACCTAACACTGTGTGCATTCTCTGACACTTAACACATTTTATACATTGTGTTATACTTATTTGACTCTGCATCCCATTTTTTCTATTAGATTATAAAATTCTTGTGAGTAGGGAGAGTCCCTCATTTTGTATCTTTCTCATAACCCACCAAATTGCCTATACTATAGTCAGAATTCTCAGAGTAATTCACTTTTATTCCTCCTATTTTATGGATGTAATTCTTGTTAATTTAATTTTAAAAGCCTTTGTTGAGTGCCTAATGTGAATTTTCTTTCACACTAACCAAATGACAAATAGAATTGTTATATGTTTTCGTACTCTTAAGTATTAATCCTGCTTTCTTTGATGAGGCAGCTGGTTTGCAATGGACAGAGGGCAGGGCTTGGAGTCAGGAAGATCTGAGCTCGATTCTGGCCTCAGACACTAGCTGAATACCCTAGCCAAGTCACTTAACCTCAAATGTAAAAGGGGATAATAACAGGACCTCCCTCACTTTGTTGTTGTGAAGATCAAATGAAACAATATTTAAAAAGTACTTAGCACAGTTCCTGGTATGTAGTTGGCACTATATAAATGGTTGTTATTCCTTTCTCCCTTTGATAGGAGTGTGGGTACATCTAGGAACTTGAGTTGTTACACTGTTTCTTCCAACCTCATGAAATTCTTTCTGAAGGGACTGAAATCCTACTATTAGAAATTTCCTCTTTTAAGAGTCCCTAATACAGTGTAAATGCTCCCTGGGAAGGGATAATACCGTAAGTTCTCATCAAGTACCACGGGGAGATCAGAGTAACTCTGAATGTGAGATCCAACTAGAGGTGCTCCAAACTCTGTAAATTTATTTGAAACTCATTATTGCTAAACTAAAGGAGGTCATGGGTCCACCCCCTTCATTTTATAGATAAGCAAACTGAGGCTCCAGGAGGTTAAGTTGACATAACAGGTCCTACAAATAGTAAGCATCAAAAAGCAGGATTTGAATCTAGGTTCTCTCTCAGTATTCTTTTCAAAAAATATTTATTTTATTTTTTCCACTTAACACTATTTTATTTTTTCCAATGACATGTAAAGATAGTTTCCCACATTTACTCTTACAAGATTTAGAGTTCCAAATTCTTTTCTCTCTCCCTCCCTCCTTCTCCCGCCCCCCCCAATTTGGCAAGCAATCTGATATAGGCTATACATGTACAATCATATTAAAGATATTTCTGTGTCATGTTGTGAAAGAGGAATCAGAACAAAAGGGGAAAACCACAGGAAAGAAAAAAAAACAAAAAAGAGAAAATAGTATGCTTCAATCTGCATTCAAACTCCATAGTTCTTTCTTTGGATGTTCCATCATAAGTCTTTTGGAATTGTCTTAGATCATTGTACTGCTGAGAAGAGATAAGTTTGTCAAAGTTGGTGATCACACAGTGTTGCTGTTACTGTGTACAACAGTCTCTTGGTTCTGCTCACTTCATTCAGCATTAGTTCATGTAAGTCTTTGCAAGGTTTTCTGAAATTCATCTGCTCGTCATTTCTTAGAGCACAATATCATTACATTCATATACCATAACTTGTTCAGCCAATCCCCAATTGATGGGCATTCCCTCCATGTCCAATTTTTTGCTGCTAAAAAAGAGCTTCTACAAATGTTTTTGTACATGTAGGTCCTTTTCCCTTTTTTTGTGATCTCTTTGGAATACAGACTTAGCAGTGGTATCGTTGGCTCAAATGATATGCACAGTTTTATAGCCCTTTGGGCATAATTCCAAACTGCTCTCCAGAATGGTTGGATCCATTCACAACTTCACCAACAATGCATTAGTGTTCCAATTTTCCTACATCTTCTCCAACAGTTATCATTATCCTTTTTTCGTCATATTGACCAATCTGATAGGTATAATGTGGTACCTCACAGTTGTTTTAATTTGCATTTCTCTAATCAATTGTGACTTAGAGCATTTCTTTTTATGAGTACAGATAGCTTTAATTTCTTCATCTGAAAACTGCCTGTTCATATCCTTTGTCAGTGCTTTTTCCACTGTAACATGCAGTAATGTGCCTCAAGCTCTTCTTTGAGGTAGGGAGATCTGGAACCTCTTTGTATTTTGAAGAAGTCGTCTTTTCTCTCAGAAGCTCAAATTTTTGTTTTTACATTCCCTTCTAGGTATGGCCACACTCAAGCCCCAGAGCCATCTCAGAGAAGCTGTGGATCAAATGGAACTCCCAAACAATGACCTACCCAGCAATGAACCTATACAAGAAATGTTCAATCTTTTGTTTTCTGTAGACTGCAAAGTTCCAGTTTCTACACAAAGTACTTATCAGTTCCTCAATTGTTAGTGCTTCCAGGCTCCTGAAATTACTCTGCACTTACTAGGTGTGTAATTTGTATTTACTTATCAGTGAACATGTTGCTACCGAAAACATAAGCTCCTCTAAGGCAGACTTTTCCCCCCTGTCTTCCCTGAACCTAGCACAGTGCCTGATAGTAGACATTGAATCATTGGTTGCTGAATGGAATGGAAAATAAGGGTAGGTGATTTTTTTAAATGGCATCCTCTCTTATTTCCAGTTTAGGTCCAAGGTTTTGATTAGGTCAGCTGCACTTGGGCAGGTAAGCCTGTTTTCACCAAATAAGAAAAGCAGTGACAGAGATAGACATAAGTGGGAAAAATAAAGTTTAGCTTCAGAGAAAAGTAGGAAAACCTAAGAGGGGCATGGTGGCAAAGGAAAGGGGAAAAACAGATTAAATTCTAGAAATTTCCCCATCAGTATAAATGTTTTGTTTTGTTTTGCAAGTGAGTTCTGTTGAGAAGATGCAAAGATTCTATTACTTCTCGTATGTAGATCTCCTCTAAAATTACTGGGGATAGTTGGGGTCTACCCAGTTTGACTTAGAACCCCATCTCTCTTCCCCCCCCCTTTGCTTTTGAGGCATATAAAAGAAAATGAAGAAAAATAATTATTATTACACTCAAAACAAAACTACCCCCCCTTTCCCCACCAATAGCCCATCCATGCCACTTATCAAGCCTGGGATTCACTATTTATTATTATGCTGGAATGGCTGAAAAAAGAACATATTCTTATACAATCAATTCTCCTCCAACATCCCAAACAAACTAAGTATCTATCAAAAATACATTGTAATCTCATATGCCTTTCCTTTCTTGAAACTTCAGATCTACCTCAAGGCTGATTCACAACACACTAGGATTAGGATCCTACTTGGTCTTTGGGTATTACTGGAGCAGTCTGTCTTAAAGCCAAACTGTATGTGATGAAGTTGAATCATCTCCTATTTGAAAAGTAAATAGGTAAGTAAACAAACAGATAAATAGTTAAATGAATGAATGAATAGATAGATCAATCAATAAATGAAGGGGGGGAAACAAGCACCAAAATACTGGCAGTTCAACAGAAGTAAATATAGATCAATTCTACCCCTACCCCTAATGGAACAAGAGTCAAACTAACTATCTGTCAGAAGAACAAAAGTCATGCTCAATGCCTTAAAACACAACAAGCAAGCTAGGAAAGGAGGCCCAGAAGATAGCACATTATGATACCGCTTCCTTAACTTGGAATTTCTACCACTGTCCTCCCTGATCCTTGATGTCTGGGCCTGCACCTGCAGCTCTGCTTGGTTGGAATTCCACCGAGCATGATGCCTCCCCCAGGAGAAGCTGATCACCTGAAGTCGCCTCATTATCCTGCTAATTCAGCTTTGGATAAGTAACATCTTCCCAACCCCCTCAGCCTCCTCTACCTTCAGATTGGAGGGGTGGAGGGTAGACTCCTCCCACGGCTTTCCTTTATAGACAGTGAGGTCCTGGACTTTCCAGCTTTCTGCTTTCCATCTGCAGTTTTGCTTGATTTGAACTCCATAGAACTATTGCCCCCTCCACCTCTACAATGGGTACCCCCTGGTGGCAACCCCTTCCAGTGTCCTGTTGTCTTTCCTCCATTTGATTATAAGCTCTGTGAGGGCAGGGACTGTGTTGTTGTTGTTATGTATTCCCAGCACTTAGCACAGTACTTAATTTACTGTATGTAAAATACTATTTAATGTATTGGATTGGATTAGATTGTTCTTTGACTCCCTGCTTTTCCTCAACTACCACATCCCTATTTAAGACTATCTTTAACTCTTCTCTACTGCAGTAGATATGGTGCTTGGTGCTAGGGTTGAGAGGGCAGTGGCTAGGACCATCGGGCAACCTCAACAAGGAAAGAAACATTTTCTGTAATAGTTTCTCTAGGAACCTGACAGTTGCATGAATATTCCTTCTTTTTTCAATCATTTTTATTTTGTTTTTAATTCCATATTCTTGCCCTCCCCACCTTCCTTTCCCTTGACCATCAAAAAGGCATAAAACATTTTAAAAAACCATTAAAAACATACATAGTCAAGCAAAATGAATCCCTGCATTAATCATATCTAAAAAGAAAGAAGAGAGTATGCTTCAGTCTGAACTCTTGAATCTATCTGTCTGGAGGTGGATAGCATGTTTCATCATTAGGTCTTTGGGAATTGTGCTTGGTCATTGTGTGGATAAGAGTTTGGAAGTCTTTCAAAGTTTTTTGTTTTTACAACATTGTTGCTATTATATAAATTGTTCTCCTGGATCTGCTCACCTCACTTTTCATTAATTCATGTAAGTTTTGCCAGGATTTTCTGAAATTATCCCCTTCATTATTTCTTACAGCACGATAGTATTCCATTGCATTCATATATCTATATCTGTATGTGTATGTGTGTGTATGTATATATGTATATATAATGTATGCATACATATATGTATCATGTATATATATATATATATATATACACATATATATCTTCCCAATTCCCTAATTGATGAGCTTCACCTTAGTTTCTAATTGCTTGACCCCATGAAAAAAGCTGCTATATGTATTCTCATATATATGAGTAATTTTCCTCTTTCTTTGATTTTTTGGAGTATAGTCTTAGGCTTTTTTGCTCAGTGATCTAGGATAGGTAGAGCTATGGCCTAGAAGTTTTGGGATTTGGTAAAGTTTTGATGTGGTGTTCAAGATCAGGAGTCCCATGATCAGAATTGGAGAATTATAGAAGTGGAGATGTGGTCCAGGGGTAAGACCCTTGTAGATCCTTTTGGTAAAAGATGGGCAGAGGTGCAGATTGAATATCAGAGATGCACTCAGCTTATCTCCTGGCATGCAGTTTTTGTTTGTGACTCAGTAAAGGTATGGTATAGAAGCTTTTGGTCAATGGTAGGAAGACAGTGGAGTGTGAATTAATATTTATAGACAAGGGAAGCATTTATTCTACTGGTCAGACCTCATGTATCTATGGCCTAGGGTGCAGAGTCCAGAGCAATCATTATCTTGGGATATATTTCAAGTAAAAGTGAAGACTAGTGGTCAGGACCTATACAACCTTGGGCTGGTGCTGTGATGCCAATTTTGGTTTGTCCTGATGTTTAAGGCCCTAGGGCTCTTTGTCCTGATGGAGCTTAAGGTCTGCTGTTGAGGCCTACTGATGAAGACCCGCTGGAACAGGACTAGTGTTTTTGAGGCTTGATGATTAAGGCTTGTTGTAGCTTCATCTACATGATTGGTGCCTGGTGTGCTTATAAGAAGATGATTAGGGTAAGGTGGTGTCTCTGGTCATTTTTGATCTTGCCAAGGGATTGAGGGAGTCTTAGTCTTATGGTGCTCATATGTTGAGGACATAAAGATCACTTTGTCCCAGTGATCCATGCATGGAGAAAATCAATTTTATCTTTTGACCTGAGGGCCAAAGTCTGTTTAGTTGCATGCCTCTTGCCTTGGCCTGGCATTTAGGAAATAGATTTCTCCCAGGAATGGCTATAACTCTAGGTCTGGGGTAGGGTAGACATGTACTTTTGGCTCTGATGCTATGTTTGGGTCATGAAAAATAAACTCTGGAAAGGTTTATCAGGACATCATAAACCGTGAAATTTTTGTCCTTGGGAAAGAATAAGAATGTGACTCCTTCTGAGCTTTGTCCTTGGACCAGAGGTTTTTCAAACTGTGGCCCTAGAATGCAAGTTGGGTAATGTGATGGTGCAAATTCCTAAAGTTGATGTATCCTAACCAGGCAATTGCTGTGCTGAGCCAGTGATCAAGAATCAGCAAAGCTTTGACTGGTGACTGGATATTTATTGGCTCAGCTGTGGTTCTGGTCTGATAGTCAAGTCACATGAAAGTTATTGCTCTTATTTATTATTATGTGGTCCTATAGTTCAGGTGTTAAACATGTGGTCTATAAGCCACATACAATTAACAGAATATATTCCTTAGTGCAGCCCCAAACAGATTAAATGTAATTGGGGAGTATTTAACAAAATAAAAATACAATAGAACATAATGTTAATATGTGTTTTTCTAAATCCTTATGTTTTATGTGGCTGCAGGAATCCTTAAGTACAACTTTGTGGCCCCTGGCTGTATTTGAATTTGACATCACTGCTGTAATTCACATATTGAGGAACCTCAGCCTTAAAGTCAGGACAAAATAAGGGTAAGACTGATGCATCTTTTAGTGTTTGAAGTGGAGGGATATTTTTCCATGCCCAAGATATTCAAATAGGCCATGGACATTGTGCAGTATAGCAACTGATGCCAGGTGTAGAGAGGATACAGCTCCAGGTCTGTAGTAAAGAAGCAATGATTTGGGGGTTCTGGTCTGGCAGTTGAAGCAGGTATCTATTCAGTCCTGGACCAGTGTTTTTGTTCCCACAATGACTCAATCTACTTTAAATCTACTTTAGTAGACACGACATCAGCACCAAATTGGCTTGGTAACTAGGAAGCAGCTAGGTGGCGCAGTGGATAGAGCCCTGGATTCAGGAGGACCTGAGTTCAAATCCAGTCTCAGACACATAACACTTACTAGCTGTGTGACCCTGGGCAAGTCACTTAACCCCATTGCCTAGCCAAAAAACAAAAAACAAAAAACAACCAACCAACCAAATAAACAACACAAATTGGCTTGGTAACAATGGAGCAAAGTTCCATTTTCTATCACCAGCTCTGCTTGACTTCAACTGCATGCAACACCATGTCCACGTGCCAGATACTTTTTGGTGGCTGTGCCCACCCCCTTTTCCTACTTTAGATTGCAAGCTCAATTGTCAATGACAACAAGTTCTTTTTCCTTATTTGTATGGACAGGCCTTAGCACAGTGCGTGGCACATAGTAAGCACTTCATGATTGCTGAAAATTAAATTGAACTATTCCAAGGCTACAGATGAAGAAGAGATCATGTGAGTGAGGGTGAGGAAATACTTTAACTACAGGATGGTTGGGAAGGACCCTTGTAGTGAAAGAGGTTGAGAGATAAAGGAATGGCAAGAATCTAATAGGAATAATTCCTTGCATTCATCTTAACATTTCAAGTATTCGAAGTTCTTTCACGTAATCTGTACCAGTGGATCCACACGTGAACTCCTAGAGCATGAGGGAGATACTGTGCTCACTTGACAGATGAGGAAATATATCACATTTACATAATAGCTTTATTTTGCATTTTCTATAACATTTTCTGGACAGCTGTCTGTAAAGTGACAGACTCTGCAAGTATCATTAATTACAGATAAGGAAATTGAGGTTCAGAGTGGACTTACCAAAGACCATGTGGCTAGTAAGTGGCAAGGCAGGACTGGAACTCAGATCATATGATCCCTAGACCAGTACCCTTCTTAGAGATAGCTAGGTGGCACAATGGATAAGACTGCTGGGCTTGGAGTCAGGAAGACCTGAGTTCAAATGTGACCTGAGACACTTAGCTAGCTGTGTGACTCTGGGAAAGTCATTTAACTTCTGTCTCAACTGTAAAATGAGGATTATAAAATCACCTACTTTCCACAATTATTGTGAGGAATGAGATATTTGTAAAGTGCTTAGCACACTGCCTGGCACACAAAAAGTTCTTAATGCTTGTTTCCTCTTTTCCCTTCCCTTCCCTTTGCTCTGTTTTTCTTTCTTTCTCTTCTTTCTCCTTCCTTCCTTCCTTCCTTCCTTCCTTCCTTCCTTCCTTCCTTCCTTCCTTCCTTCCTTCCTTCCTTCCTTCCTTCCTTCCTTCCTTCCTTCCTTCCTTCTTTCCTTCTTTCCTTCCTTCCTTCTCACTATAACATATTGGTTCTGAGGATCATAAAGTTGAACTTGGAGTACACACACACATACACACACACACTCATGCACACTCACATACACACACACATAAAGTTTCTTACACAGCTATAAGTTGAAAGTTCATTTGAGATAGCTGAAAAACAAAGATTTTTGCCTTTTGGAAATATCCTATGTCTTCTTCCATTTGTGTACTTAATTTATTTTTTTTTTATTTTTGAGCTGTTGACAAAAATACGTAAAGAACTATTTCCAGAGATTTCCCTCCACCAAGTCTACCAAAAGCTGTAAGTCAAATGACTATACAACTAGCTATATTCTTCCTCAAATACTTAAAAAATATCCTACTTCCTCTTACCCTCATTTTGTGCCTCAACCTGTATGTGAAGAATTTTCCTGTTCTTTGTTTCATGGACCAGATTCAGTTACCAAGTGATGTGCCATTAGGTAATAAGTTTCTCTGTACTTTAGGAAGCCTAGCCCTCAGAAAACATATCCAGTCTTTGGATAGGATTGTATTTAAAGCATTGACAACATGGCATAACCTTTGAGAACTTGAGTCACCTCAATGCCACAATGGAACATCTGGGTAGCATCACTCAGAGAGCCTCGCAGAACATGCACAAACAGCAAATAGGGAACTATGAAGAAGATCCAGTCAGGGATAGCATCAAAGAAATGTATGATCAAAAAAAAAGGATAATGGGTGAGGATAACCTTTGGATGGTGAGTGTGATATCAAGAGAAATAAGGCAAGACCCCCAGTGCATGAGATTTTGAAAACAAAACTGCTGGGGCAAGCAGTATAGACTGCTTTCTTAAATCAACTTTTAAATTCAAGTAATTAAGACCAGGGCAGCTAGGTGGCGCCATAGTGCATAGAGTGCTTGGCCTGGAATCCGGAAGACTCATCTTCCAAAATTCAAATCTGACCTTAAAGCACTTATAAGCTGTGTGACCCTGGGTAAGTCACTTAACCCTGTTTGCCACAGTTTCTTCATCTGTAAGATGAGCTGGAGAAGGAAATGGCAAACCAGTCCAGTATCTTTTTGAAGAAAACCCCAGATGGGGTCATGAAGAGTCAGACAGGACTGAAATGACTGAACAACAACAAATTAACCAAATGGTCTAACGGAACTAGAAGAGATCGTGTCAGTTACAGCCAATACACAGGATTTAGGAGTTCCACATCTGTCTTAGTGTTCTTGTATCAAATAAATTAACCATTTTTCTGTCAAATCATTTTTATCTGACAATGAGTAATCTTTCTTTTGTCATTTGGGTTGACTGAAACAACTAGCATTCTATATACAGGAGAAGGGGCTAATGTTTGGATGAATGCTGAAACAGTTCTATTGACCAGTTCTTCCCTCTCTCATCACAGGTTGTAAATTCTGAGGATGCAGAAATCCCCCGGACATCATTGTGTGGGTTTCTTCCATCCAGCCCCAAGGACACGTTGCACGTGAACCTGCCAGCGGTGACCCAGAATGTGCTCAAGGTCTCAATCTCTTGCAAGGGAGCAACAACTAAAGATGGGCCTTTCAGGAGAAGACAAGAAGGCAAAATATGGATTTGTTCATTTCTCTTTTGACATAGAGAATGACCAAATTAGCATGTTCTTCATTGAAATGACGTATTGTACACTCCTCAAGTAAGAGATTTAAAAAACATTTTCTTATTCAATTATCTGGGAGTTCTATATTTTTGTAAATAATCACCTATATTTTGTAACTAACAGGGAATATTTTCATTCTAAAAATCATTTTGGTATTTCACTCAACGGAAGAAATGAAAGCTAGTAATAGCCATATCCAAAAAATTGCACCAAATCACTAATTTTAAAAATGTAAATTAAAGCAACTCTGAGGTCCTACCTCCTATCCTCCAGACTGACAGAGATGATCAGAAAGTAAAATGATAATTATTAGAGGGAATTCAGGAAAAGCACACTAATAAATGGTTGGTGGAACTATGGGTTGGTCCCACGTTTCTGGAAGGCAATTTGAAAACATGCCCCAAATGCCACTAAACTGTACACATCCTTGGCCTAGCAGAACCACTACTAGGTGGTTAGGAGAATAAAGAGAGAGACAATGGACTAGGGGTACAACACCTGGATGGAAGGGGCCCGCCATTCATACCACCATCATCAATACCAATAGTGGATAAATCGCCATTGCTGAAGCAAGCAAGCATCCTAGATGAAACAGCACAGCACTCTGAGGGACAGACAGGATGCAGCCATGTTCTGGGCAAGTCAAACCACCTTGGTCACCACTTCCCCCCATACATTAGTAGAGATAACTCAGCAACTCAGCTCAAGAACTTTAGGAGTTAACCCTTTCCCCCGATGACTAGCCTTACAGCCATCTCTGAGGGGAACAATTCCTGCAGAGAAGGTATTTGATAAGTAAACTGAGTCAGGACAAAAACATTTCTATATATATTGTTCAGTCATTCATGTTTTTCTTCCTATCAGGAGACACTCAGTCATAATTTAGACTGCTAGTACTCAGGGGCCCCCAATGATGCCGGCTAGAGGTGTTGATGTTCCTGAGCCACATTCTTTGCAATTACAACCAAGAAGGGGTAATAGAGTCCTAAACTCCTTCACATTTTGAAGAAGTTCCTTTTCTGACTTTAGGACTAAAACCAACTAATGTTGATATGGTCTGTGCTCAGTGGATGTGTGGCTGGTGGTCAGAGCTCAGGACAATCTCAGACAGACACTGAGCACCTACTTATTCCAGTGGTTGGGGCCAAGTTCTTGTGGTCAGACCTAGGTATAGCTTTGGCTTGGCCTTTTCGTTCTAGTGTCAGTGAGGCCTGATGGCAAAAGGCCAATTGGAATAAGACACATGGAGTTATGACCTTATGGTTTAGTCCTCTGGGTTGAGCTGTAGGCCCATGGTTGGTACCTGGTGCGGTTATAGTTTGGTGCTCAAGGTGTGATGATGGTGTAGATACGGCCTTAGTATTGTAATCAGACCCTGGAGGAGCCACAGACACAGGATCTGGACATTTGAAGGTCGGGTAGAAGTGACCATGGTCTAGGGACCTATGTGTGGTAATGATCAGGTATTGTTCTTGACCATGGACCACATCAGCTAACTGTTTTGACTCTTGTCCTGACCTAGCCTATGAGGCCATGGTTGTGGCCTTATCACTGTGTTTTCAGCATGGTTAGTATGAGGGTACAGGCATGATCCTTTGATCTGAAAGGGGTAATGACATGTTTTTTTTTCCTGATAAAGTGGGGTATATGTTCGGCTCTGGACCAGTGGTCTTCTTCCTGTGATGATAAAATCCAAAGATTGGAACATGGTAAACTTGACTGGACCTTTGGGTGAAGGTCTTTGGCAGGGGACTGGACCTCAACTGTTAATGAAAAGACCATGTGAGTGAGGATAAAGAACCACACAAGTATAGCACATATGGGAAAGAGAACTGTGGAACATATGGAAGAGTACAATAGAGGTGTGACAATTACAGTATCTTGTATTTGTGCAATAATTTAAAGTTATCAAAGTACTTTCATAAGCATTACCTCATATGATCCATAACACGAGCCCATGAGGTAGTCATGACAGGTATTATTGTGTCAATTTGACAGGTGAGAAAACTTAGACATAGAGAAGTTAAAACAACTTGAGTCATAGATAATCAATAATGAAGTCAAGGATTTAGAACTAATATTCACAGAGGTCAACTTGTCTAAGGTCATAGTGCAGAGAAGGATTAAAACCCACATCTTTCAACTTCTAGAGCACTGAGCTTTCTGATTTTGAGGACCACTTAACAGGTTCAGGATCAGATGGATGAAAGTTGCAAAAAGAGTACACTGTTTTATAAGGAAAATGAATTATGGCATTCATAAAGAGAGTAGTGGACAAGAGTAGGGAATGATGTAATGGGGGCCCCATTTAAGATGTTTGAAAACTAGAGTCCTCATCTTTTGGAAAAAGTCTCTATTTTCTCCCCATTCACCTCTTGAAAGGTTTTCCTTGAGAAGATAATATATTAACAAATTTCAGAGTTATTATTGTCCCATAAGTGATAGTTAAATAACCAAATGTACTTAAAAGTTTTGCCTAGCCTGAGCTATTTCCCTTTAGATTCATTCTACATTGTCAATGTGAATCTCAATATATTAATGTAGTATAATATCCCTTCAGTTTTGACAATCTTCTTGAAAGTAGAAAAAATAGGGAAGCTAGTCATGGGCCTCTGATGTGCCTGTAAGTGACAAACTCATTTACATTGAGAACTGTTATGATAGAGAAAAGAATAATGCTACCTACCCTACCTGCAGGATTTTAGGAAGAAATGAAGCCTTAAGCTAAATAAATGAAGCTCCACAGGAGAAATTTAAAATATGCTGTGAATTCAGGTGGTACTTTCTTAGGCCCAAGAGAGTCTTTTCTCATTCCACCATCATAAATTACTCAAAACTAATTCTATATCCTTTTATTTAATTTTGCAAAATCACAACTTAAGATAACCCAAACCCCAGCTACATCTTTTTATTCTTAGTTTAAGTACAATGAAATTAGCTTTGTGGAGAATTGTGTGGCACTACCTAGGACAATTGGAAACTAAATAGATTGTCATACAACCAAGCTTGAGAAGTACTAGTTAGACTCTTCGACTCTTCAAAATCTGCCTTCTTCTCCTAATGAGTACTCAGAAAAGTTTCACTTGATATTAAATACTGTGAAGCCATGATGGTGAAGTGAAATCAAACATTTTTGCAAAGTTTTCCCAACAAACTTCTCCACCAGAAAAAAAAAAACTTAAAAAAATCAAAATTCTGTGTGGTAAAAACTAACAAAAGACACACTGGGTCATTTTTGCAGCCCAGGGCAGATTAGGAAGACTGAAAAAAGAGGTTTGCAGATACTAGAGTGAGAACTGGCTAGAACTGTAGCATGGAGGAAGTGGTACTCACTGTGAGCTGTGGGGGTGGCAACAGAAGGAGAAGTCAAGCTCCTGGGGATGGTAAAGGGATTTATCACCTGTTCAGGAAGAGATCCAAAGGGATCCCTTTACTAGGAATGTGCCATGTTCTAGCTCTGTCACCCCTTATCCAAATCTAATTGCAGCTCCAGGGAGGAGAAGAATGGATGTAGTCACGAGGAAATGGGTACCTGTGTAAGGACCTGTGTAAGGACCAGAGTGCAAAACAGAAAAACAGTAACCAGACCTCTCCCCCAATCATACCAGTTTGGAAGCACTGAAAACTTACAGGTACCCACTGAGCTGTGAGAAC